AATTAGAATTTTAAATTGACCAATAGTTTGATTTTTGTTCCATAGATAATTTCTTAAATTATTATACTAATATTTTTTGGGTAACTCTGGAGTGGTAAAAGTATATCTATAGAGACTCACATGTTCCTCCCGTACTCTATTTCTTTTATTTTTAGGAACACTAAGCCGCAGATCAATATGTGAGAGGTTTTTGAAAATGGGTTTTAATAATAGGTCAGAAGTATTGATGAAATTATTTCACTTTTGTGTGATAATAATATTCCAAACATAATATCGAAAAAAAAGCAAATTGAAAATTTAATTATGAACTATCCAATTATACTTGGAGCAGTTATATTTCCAACAATTGTCTCTGGCTGAATAAAAATTTACTTCAAATGGAAGAGAATCAATCTTTTGATGACCCTGGCCCTTCAAGAAGATTTTTTATTTTCAGAATTGTCCAAGTCCCAAAAAAATAAAGAAACCAAAGGTATATATTGCCAAGGAATTAATTTATAATATCTTACAGAAAAAAACATGTTTTTTTTATTTACATAATGATGCAAATATTGCATTATTGCTTTTAATTAATGGCAAAGATTAAAAATCAATTTATTTCTAGGAATTAGAGATTCTTGTAAGAATCAGAGGTGTACCTCTGAAGTTCTGGCATATGCTACAGTTTCTAATTTAAGGAAGACACATAAAAATGAGACGGCAAAAGCAGTCCGAATATTATTGTCAGTCAGATAGTGAAGAGGAACTAGAAGAAAGTGGTGGTGAATCGTGTCATGAAGAAAATAAGTTTGAAGACTCCATTTAAGGCATATTGCAATTTATGTTTTTTTCTTTAATTTAGACCAGACAACCTAATGGGTATTCTTTTTTAGGTTCGAAGCATTTTTAAAAACCATGATTTTTGAATAAAATTCATAGAAAATCCCCCTTTTTTAATATTTTTATACTAAACAAACATAGTCTGAAATTTATTTTGTTTATTCTTTGGACTATGTTTGTCATGTTAATAGTTAATAAATCCGCCATTAAACCTAATAAGTCTAGAATTTGTAATAAAATTAAAAATATCCTATGCGTCACTTTTTGGCAATCTGAACCACTGTGGGACGTGCATATAGGATCAAATTATTGGAATATTTCTTGTTAGGAATGATAAAAGCCGTTTAATACCAATTAAAAGATATATCTTGACCTTTTGTCGAATTTTATCTCCTTGATGAGAAAAACGCAATTTTATTATTAACAATTAAGAAAATTAAATTAAAAATAATAGTTATTTTTTATACAAGACGATAAAATAGTATTTTATCGTTGACCGAAAAAATTAATTTCGGGAAACGATAATGCAATTTTATCGTCGTGTATAAAACAATACTTTTTTCCATAGAATTAGGTATTTCAAGGAATTTATTACGAGCAGAAAAAATATTGTGCTGGGTTGGCGTTGGTTTCTATATAATTTGACAAATAAATAAAGCTGTCTCTTTAGTTGTCAGTTTTAAGTCAATATTTTTTAATTCTCTTTCGTGTCGATTGAATTGAAGCCAAAAATGGCTCAAAACTAAATAAGTAAATTACCAACAGATATTCAGGCTGAGGCGACAAACGCCATATCCAAACTACTTCCATTTAAATCCCAAATAACTTATGAAAAGGAATACAAACATTTTCAAAAATAGAAGCAATTAAAAAACGTGAGAGAAGAAATAAAGTTTTTAACCTATCATCGCTGTTAAAGTCACCCTTGCGGTTAAAGTACTATTTTATCCACTATGTTTGATAGATATAAGACAATTTTAACAGTTGTTATGGAAAATAATTAATAAACTATTTATTTAATGCAATTTATTATTATATTTTATTAAATTTTATATCACTGATATTTCGAACTACCTACTACACCAAATTCAAAAATAAATGGTATAATAAGATAAATACAAAAGACCTATTTTTAAAAAAAATTACATCCTATAACTTTAAAACTATGTTTTTTAAAAACCCATGTCTATAGAAACTTTTTTCATATTTTTTGATGAGAAATCAAATAGTACTTATTTAGAATTTTGACCAATTAATGACACTAGAAAATTTTAAAGGTTTTTTTAAAAAATGTTGATTTAATTTAATAGAAAGTAGTCTAGACTACTGAACTTAAAAAAAAACAACTGCAAATGCTACTCTGTGTACATGGTCATTTTAATACGTAAAGCATAAGTGTCCTATAAAAGTTTTATGGTCTATAAAAGCACCATTTTAGTATTAATAGCTAATAATCGTTTAAAAGTGTGCGAGTAGGAACATAGTGCATAATTTATATGTTTCAGTAACGACAGTAATTTACAAGTTGTTCAAAGTTTAAAATAATTAGTATACATTATTAAAGGATATTTAACAATTCTTATGTGGTGTGTAAACATTAGTTCGTTGAACAATAAGTAGGGGTTGTACACAAAGAATCCCAATGGAAAAAGCGCAAATTTAAAAAGAGGCCGTATTCATTTCTAACAATAATAAAATCTTTAGCAATCCAAGTATGGAAGTTTCAACAATATGACAACTTTATACTTGACTGCACCCAACTAATTCACGGGTGAATGCTCGGCTCTAGTATACAGGGTGTTTCAAAAAATATGTGCTATCTCTCGTGGTGAGATTCCTCACTTAAAATTAAGATTTATTTTTCATTTCAACATAGGTCCGATTCTGCTTTGTTTCGTAGCTACAAGCTACAGGGCGTTAAAGTTTTAATAATCTATCGATTTATTATAATTTTCTTCTAAGTGCTTTTAGTAATTCAACTGAAATTTTGAGGGTAAAAGTTACTATAAGTGCTACATATTTTAATGACTAAAAAAGTGTCGATAAATTCAGGGATGTGCATTGTGCATATGGGTAATCACTGGAATATTTTTCAAAAAAAAACATGTGCGATATTGACTTTTTATCTTTTGATATCAAAATTGTGTAGGCCGTTTAATGCCAATTAAAAGTTATCTCTTGATATTTTGTCCAATTCTGCCTTCTTGATGAGATAAACGCAATTTTATTAATCACAATTATAAAACCTAATTTTAAAAAGCTTTAACATTCTGTAACTCTAAAACTATTTATTTCCATAACCATGTTTATGTTTATAGGAACTTTTTCTCATATTTTTTGATGAGGAATTAATGAGTACTTATTTAAATCTTTCGCAAGTTAATAATATTATTTTTTTTTACAGGTTGCTATTAGACTTGGGTCAAGGCAAATTAATAAAATTGCGTTTATCTCATCAAGGAGGCCGAAATCAGCAAAATATTAAGAAGAATTAAGAAATTTGTTAAGAAAATGTCCATTTTGAATAATAAGTTTAAAAAATTAAAAAGCTCTAAAAACAAACATGTCTTCCAGAGAGACATAAACATAGTAGAGAATCTTTCTTCGCAGACTTTTGATAAACAAGAGCTCAGTTTATTAAACAAAGGTTTAAAGTTTGCATTGCCCAACTCTGGTAGCGCTTTGGAGGAAATCGTCGTGGCTAGTTTAAATTTCTTAGTTTTCCACTTTCCAAAGAAAGATATGAAATAGAAAGAGATTACATTAGGAATGTAGCTGAGTGTAATGGATATTCTCCTTCACTAGTTGAAAAAATAATTAGAAAACGTAGGTATAGGTTAATGATTTCTGAAAATTCGACTTTTCAAGTGGAGAAAGATACGTCAAAATATTTTTCAATGCCGTTTGATAGACAGTTATCCCGTGGTCTAAAAGGAATTTTTACAACAATTATTAGGTAATCCAAAGGATAAAACACCTCTACTGGAAAGGTCGGGTATTTATGAGATTTCTTGTAAAGATTGTAATCAGAAATATGTTGGGCAAACTAGAAGATCAATATTAACTAGATTTAAAGAACATTTAGCTCAGATAAGATATGGTAGACCTGATAAATCTGGCGTTGCCGAACATATTGTTGATAAAGAACATTGTATAGATCTTAATAGTTTAAAATTAATTAAACAAGTCTCAAATTACAGGCAATTAGATGCATATGAAAGCATCAGAATTAATAAATGTAAAGATAGTATGAACAGAGACAACGGTCCAATTCCTTCAAGTTCTTTGTTCCTACTACTCTAGTGGCGGAAATCTAACTGTTACGCTCGGTGGGTTCTGACTCGGTTGACTAGATCTTGCCAGGCCCACTCTGTGCCCACTAAGCGAGTATATAAACGCTCCAATTGTAGATTGTATTTTAGTTTATAATCATCTGCTGATGATGCTAACATGGTTAGCGAAACGCGCGTCCAGTGTAAAAGTAAAAGTGTTTTAGTGTATTGTGGTAATTTAGTGTTTTATTTTGCTGTGTAACACCAAAGGTTCCAACCCTCAACTGTAATAAAATATTAAAAGACAACTTTTAATCGGTATTAAACTGCAAACAAGAAAATAAAAGTCAGTGGCGTACATGGTTTTTTTAGAAAAGTATTCCAGTGATAACCCATATGCACGTCCCTGGTGAATATGTCGACACTTTTTTAGCTTTAAAATATGTCGCATTTATACTAACTTTTACCCTCAAAATTTCATTCGAAACGCTATAAGTACTGGGGAGAAAATTGTAATAAATCGAAAAATTATTAAGACTTTAACACCCTGTAGCTACGAAACAAAACAGAATCGGACCTATGTTGATATGAAAAATAAATCTTCCCACGAGAGATGGCACATCTTTTTTGAAACACCCTGTATTAAGCTCAGTAGGTTTTAGGACTTAGATTACTTCACACTCAACTTAATAAAGACAATGGAAGTCCAAAATTCTTTTAGTTTTAAGTTTTTCTACTTGCAAAGACAATCCGGGACATACTGTATATAAAAATCCATATGCATAGTATTAGAAGCCTGCACATATCGCACTAAATATCTCACAAAACCCTGGACATCAGGTAAATAAGAATTAATCTGTTAGTTTATTTCTTTTCAAATATTACAGTGAATAATTTCTATACCCTTACCTGCATGAAACCACCTTCACAGTGACTGCCATTCAACAAAGTGCCCACTTTGAACTTGTTGAACTTTATCCTGAGGATCCAGTCTTTGGGCGTGCCCCGAAACGACCTGAACCTGTACCAACATGTCATCTGTTTCCCGAAGTTGTCATCTGTCACCTCTGGACTGGTGACATCTTCGTACACGTCCACAGTCTTGTTGCAATGGTCCTTCTTCAAATCAGCTGAAAAAAAAAGAGAAAAGAATGTTTAGAAATTTTGACACAACAGAGAAATAATTAGTAATATAGGAATGTTTATTACAGTTGTTACTTTATGTTTACATTTAACAAAAATTACAACAATTTGTTCAGGAATGAAGTTAACTTAGGTTTTTAATTGTTTAATAATTTAATGTTAGTTCTTTTAAAAATTTAATTACTTAGGTACATTTAAAAGTTATTTAAAGTATTATGTTTAGCTTTTTATAAAAACTTGTAAAACTCTTTTACGTTTAATTTAATTTTCTTAAAAAAACTGAGAAGAACAGTCACGACTTTATTTATGACGCTGTTCTAATTCTAATTTCACAAATCACAATTCTAATTCTAATTTCACAAATCGAACGAGTTTCTATAGACTCTTTCTCTCGAAAAAAAAACGTTCCAGAAGTTTTCCAATAAAATTTAAATGGACGCAACGGCTTCCAGCTTTAATTCTGACTCTGCCAGAGTAGGACGAAAAAAGAGAGAATGATGAGAGGAGAGAGAGAGAGAGAAAGGGACATGAGGGCGCTGCGAGAGGGATTTTTAAGGAAATGCGCGAATAAATGGCGAGAAAAATAACGTTTCGCGACGTGGCGTCACGTTTCCGGTTACGGTGGGGGAAAGAAATAAACTGTAAACGGTGACATACGAACAGGTTTACTGTTTTGACTTAAAAATGTATTAGGAACATATGGGCTCTGCTACCAGGGAGCGACAAAAAATAATTTGTTAGACTTACGGGTACATACTAACCAGCGACCTTCTTTTAGTCCAGGAAACAGTGAAGATTTTTCGTACTTATTTTTCCAGCGAACAAACACCGATAGAATTATTCTATCGGTAGATCTTATTCTAAGCAAATTTTATATACAGGGTGGTCCGAACTGTATTCCGGAAACTTCTCTAAAATAACTTAAAGTGTACGTAGTGATATTATTTTTTTGAGTTTTAGTTTGTTTAATCTAAATTGTAAAGAGCCGTTTAATAACATATTTTGTCTTTTTATAAGTTATAAATCACAACAAAATTTGAACACCATTGAAAACCGTTCTCTAGAAAACGTAAGTAACTTTCACCGATCAACGTATCCTGTATGGCCAAGAAAAGTTGAACCAATAATCCTAAACGCTTTTCTTCATTTGAAAAATTTTTATTTACAATTTTTGTTTATTTTAATTTACAAAGATTGGATGTGACACAATTTCACATTTCTGAGAGCAACGACGATTGAACTTGTTTCCATGGCTAACTAAGTGAAATTAATCAAGAAAGATAAGAATTGGCTATAACTCAGTAATTTTGTGAAAGAAACATATTATAGCTTATATTGCTAAAAAGCTCAAAAAATGGCGCTTTTTATGAAGTCACAGCCAACTATGGTTTCCATTTAAAAAAACATATGTTTGTGTCATATGTCAAAAAGGACAGGTTTTACAAAAAATCGGAGAACACAAACTCATTAGGAATATGATTATCTACAACTTTTATCTGAACACTTTTTGTCTAAAATAGATTGTAATGGAATTAGGGACAATTTTTAAAATAGCCAAAATTTGTTTTTTTCGAAATATCTAGTAAGCCATGAACTTTTTCAAAAATCTGAAAGGCGCATATTTATGACCCCACAAAACTGCAATTCTTTCCCCATTTAACCGACTCTCTATCTCCAGTAGTTTCCGAGATGCCCATAGGGAACATCGTAGGAAACTCACCCTGTATATTACTTAATTTTATTAGTATTTTTGTTTCTTTAAATATTTTGATTAAAAGAAAATATGTAAAAGAGGGCAACGCTGTGCCGGTCAAGCTCAATCACGTGACTAAAAGTTTTTTGATATGAACCATATTTACTTGATTTCTTTTCTCAGTAAAGTAAAATGTTATGTCGCTTTTTATAAATGCAGTCATATTAAAAAAGTTTCAAAAATTACACTGAAAGCTTGTATTCGCCCTTAACGATTTGCTGTCAATCACCGATAATCATTTTCCATTTTGCTTTACAAAACCCTGTTAAAACTTGTTTGTAAACGTTTTTCCCTGCGCTAAAGCAAATTGTCTATTCCTGTTTGCTCATATTCGGTCAAATATTCGGCTGGCCACTGTTTGCTGACAGATCTACATAAAGCCAATCGAATATTCAACATTAATGAAGCGCCCAACAATGCGGCGCATCCAGACATTCGCAATCCCAAGCGTTTAGAGATGGAAGAGATTAAAGCATTTTAAAGTGACTGACTCACTGATTAATCACGATCCTGCTCAAAGCACTCAACGTAAGAAGCTCAATTTTGGCATACAGGTTGACTCTAGGGTGTAAAGGTTCGATAAGAAGGGATTTTTCGGAATTCCAGTTCCAGGGGGGTAAAACTACCCCTCAAATATTACAATATTTTTTTAAACGGTCAAGTTTCCGAAAAAACGCTTAAAAGTTTTTTAAAAAATGTATACAGGGTGTTTCGAAAAATCTGGTCATTGATTAATCACGATCCTGCTTAAAGCGCTTGACGTAAAAAGCTGATTTTTGGAAAACGGATTGACTTTAGCGTGTCGAGGTTCGATAAGAAGGGATTTTTCGAAACTGAAATCCTGAGGGGGTGAAACCACCCCTCAAATATTAGAATATTTTTTATTTAAAAACCGGTGAGTTTTTCGGAAAAACTCTTAAACACGTATATTTTATTTTAAATATTTTAAGATTTTTTAAAGATTTATACAGGGTGTTTTATACAATATAACCATTGAGTAATCACGATTCTGCTTAAACTGCTTGACGTTTAAAGCTGATTTTTGACAAACGGATTGGCTGTGGGGTGTAGAGGTTCGATAAGGAGGGATTTCTCGAATCTCAAATTCCAAGAGGGTGAAAACGCCCCTCAAATATTACAATATTTGTTATTTAAAAAACGGTTTGTCTTTCGGGAAAACGCTTGCACACGCATAATTTATTTCGTATTTTTAAATATTTTGAAATTTTTGAAAAAATCATACAGGGTGTTTCAAAAAGTTGGATAATTGATTAACCACGATTCTGCTTAAACTGCTTGACGTAAAAAGCTTATTTTAGGCAAACGGATTTATCGAAAGTCAAGATGAAAAACAAAATAGATCCTCAAATAATACCAAGTTATATAATACTATCGCCATATTGTTTTTTCTCATGCTGATATAAATGTGTGAAAATTTTATCCAGTTTGTATGTTAATGGAAATTCTTGCTTTCCTTTATCTTCACCATTACAAATGATTAATTCGACGCGAACGAAGTCGCGGGTACACGCTAGTAGTATATAAAACAAAATAAGTCAAATAAACAATTGTTACTCAGTAAAAGAGTTCCTTAATTAGTAAATTTTAACAGTACAAAAATTATAATCAAAGAACCCATAGTCTCTAAAGGAAAAATACAGCGGCGTAACGTGGCCTCAATACAAGGGGATGTAATAAGCAGAGCTGCAAGTTCACAGAAAACTTCTCTTTTTGACTTGAATTATTTGATTTTAAGTCTTTATTCCGAAATAGAAAAAGATTTAAGTCATTAAAAAAAATTAAGTCTTTTAAAAGATTTAGGTAAGTCTTTTTAGCAAAATAAAACACTAAATCACCACAATACGCCAAAACACTTTTACTTTTACACAGGACGCGCGTTTCGCTAACCATGTTAGCATCATCAGCAGATGATTAAAACTAAACTACAATCTACAATTTGGGCGTTGATATACTCGCTCAGTAGGCACCAAGTGGGCGTGGCAAGATCTAGCCAACCGAGTCATAGCCCACCGAGCGTAACAGTTAGATTTCCGCGACTAGAGTAGTAAGAACAAAGAACTTGAAGGAATTGGACCGTTGTCTCTGTTCATACTATCTTTACATTTATTAATTCTGATGCTTTCATATGCATCTAATTGCCTGTAATTTGAGACTTGTTTAATTAATATGTTGGCCAAACTAGAAGATCAATTTTAACTAGATTTAAAGAACATTTAGCTCAGATAAGATATGGTAGACCGGATAAATCTTGCGCTGCTGAACATATTGTTGATAAAGAACATTGTATAAGTCTTAATAATTTAAAATTAATGTTTTTACATGGTTTAAAATATATTTTTCTTATAATATTTAAGAATAGACTGTTGAAATTACAAAAGTATACATTTTTTTGGTATTCGCTGGCTGTCGGTGGCAACAGTCGACTATAATAATTATATGGCAGACATAGGCAGTCTTCTTCGCAGTTGCTTGGCAGTAAAATAATATTTTTACAATACATTTAAATTTTTTACCCAAGTGAGACACGCCTCGGGTATTTTACACGCCTAGTCAGAGAACAATAATACTGGATTTTAATGGATACTGGATTTTATTGGTTTTAAAATACAATTTAAAATAAAATAAATAAATATACAAACAATCTACAATTTCAGTATTAATATACCAGTTTACGATACAAAAACTAAATTTAAACCATCTTTTTTAAGGTATGTTTTTAAAACAAATTCAATTCGAGTATTTTACAAACAATATTCGTCCATATATCGACATTAAAAAGCTTTTTACGCTAAAAATAGTAATAAAATTATGTTCAGCTAATGGATTTCGAGGGTAATGAAATTTTGTAAATTCGACGCTATGTTTTTCGTAATATATTTAATAGAGTAATTTGTTATGTTGCCAGAGTTCATTTTTGATGTTTTTTTTTTATTTGAAAACCGTACATCTAAATCCAATTTTCTTTTTATAAAAAATATATACAATATGAAAAGCACTTATACAATACTAGCGTGTACCCACGACTTCGTTCCCGTCGAGTTAGTCATTTGTAATTATGATGATAAAGCAAAGCAAGCATTTCCATTAACATAAAAACTGGATAAAATTTTCTCACATTTATGTCAGCATGAGAAAAAACAATATGGCGATATTATTATATAACTTGGTAATATTTGAGGGGTAGTTTCATCTCGTTGGAATTTGACTTTCGAA